TTCTAAAGACTCTGAAGACTTGAAGTTCTGAAGACCCAAGGTTCTAGAAAAGGTTCTCACGACTAAGTGCTGAAGACTCTAATGACACAATTCTGAAGACTCTGAAGACTTAAAATTCTTCTGACCATAGTGTTATGTTCTCTCTTTTAAACTCACGCTCGCAGAAGCCTCTAAACTGCAGAAAGAAAGAAGATAACATTAACGTGGTACAAATAGTACATTGTATAATCAATGTTTCATTCCACTACCGTGAAAGGACATACGCATCACACGATCATGTCCCCCGCGTGATTTATCAAGCCGCCAATTTTATGGAATTTCCAGAAGTACTCTTCAATGGTTATATTATTTTATTGACTATATAAAGGCTTGAAGACTAATAGTGAAAGCAGCTAATTCACGCCAATTCATATTCTAGAGAGACTGTTCATACACTTTCATATTCTTTTAGTCTCTACATGTTAGAAAAATTGTTTACATAGTAGCTTGTTAAAGAAGCACATATTTTGTAAACACAACTTGATTCAAACAGTTGTTTGATTTCCTTAAGAGATCGGTTAGGTCAGTTTTCTTGAGAAGTCTAGGACTAGTGTATCTTATAAGTTGTTGTTAGTCACTTCCAGGTAACTTGTGCATTGTAATAATCATTTGTATTATTGGATTAAGTCCTTGGTTATAAGGAGAAATTACCTTGGCGGCTGGACTAGACTAGCTTAACAATTTTCAAGTGAACTAGTATAAACATACCTTATTCTCTACTTCCTGTTCTTAATTATTGATATCATCAAGAGTGGAGAAAAAGTATTTTAATTAAAGGGGAATACTTTTTTTATAGAAAAGTTTTTATTTAAAACCCAATTCAACCACCCCCCCCCCTTTCTTGTGATTTTCACACCTTTAATAATTAGTTAAAATTATATAAATATATTTGATTTTGTGTGTTTTAATTTATTAATGGGTTGAGTTAATTAAAATAATTAGGTGGTGTAGAAACTAGTTAGAATTATTTAGAGTATTGTAGTGATTAAATAATAAAAGTGATTATTTAATTTAGTAAATATATGTCAGAATTATAAAAATAATAAGGAAAATAAAGTGGGTAGAGGAATTAAGGTCCCATTCTATTAGTACATGAAACAAAGAGAATATAGAAAAAAGGTTTTGGGAGAAGGTGTGCCGGGGATTGAGAGAAGATATCATTTACCATCAACTTCACTTAAATTTTAGGAGTTACAAGGTAAATGTGAGAATTTGGTTCAATAATAGAGGTGTGATGAAAGCATAGAGTAAGACTTCAATTTTCTTTCAATTTTTGATGATAATACTGTTTTTATAAGCAATAATATGGATTATGTTCATGTGTATTGATATGTTATTGTGGCATTCGTGGATCAATTGAATTATGATGAAATTGGTATGAATTAGATGTTTTAGGGCACGAGTTTGATGAACAATTCATGATTTATGGTGTTAAAATTATGAACTAACTTGAGATGATTAGGGTATTGCATAAGTTGTAATTTACTGAGTATTGAGATTTTTACGGAATCAAAATCAGAGGTTCGAAAGGAGCAGAATTATGCATTTTGCAACGGTTTAGAGCGTTGCAAAAAAGCTGGCGTTAGTTACGGTGGCGGTCCAACCGTTGCTGATTAGGCTGATTTTGTTTATATTTTGTTTTTACCATAACTTTTCATCCGTAAGTCCAAATATTGCCTCGTTTAAAATGTTGTAAATCTAATGAAATTTACCATAAAATAAAATTAATTTTAGAGGCTGAGTATGTTGTGATAACATGAGCATTATGCGTATTTGTTAATGTTATCTTGTGATGATGTTATGATGTGAGAATGTTAATTATAATTGAATAACAATGTAAATATTGTTAATGTCATAAAAAATAACATGATTATATATTTATGAATATGCATATGTTGAGTTAGTGAAGTTGATGTCGTTATTGGTTGTAGTAATATTGATTAAGGTTTGTGTATGGTGTTTGATATTATGTTATGATGACGAAGTTTGATGATGTTGTTATGGTGCTAATGTTGATGATGTTGTTATATCGATGTTGTTATGATGATAATGTTGACGATGTAATTATGATGAGGTTATTAATGATGTTGCATGTTCAATATATGCATGTTATATTAATGGTGATTATGTTGTCGGTGGCATACACGGTCAAAAGAGGGGCCAATGTGTATGTGTTGTTGTTGCATGTTGAGAATCTATGCATTTATGTTTTAGGAATATTGGTTCTTTATGATGAGCCTTGATCCTATGGTGATAGATTGGGTGCGAGTGTGATGATTGGCTATGAAATTTCTTATCGTACGAATATGTGATAATGATCAAATGAGTTAGATGTCGTGTAAACATCCCAATTAAAATATGTGTTTTTGAAAGTATTATGTTGAAACCCATGTTACGGAGTAAGATGTGTGTTTTTTATGTGTGCGAGACCCTACGTGGTTGTATTTATAATTAAATCATGCGATATTTTATGTGCGGGGTTTAGATTGTTACACATCCGCCCTAGAATATACCCCTAGACGCAACACATAATCAGTAGGTGGCTTTCCCGGGTGAGAAACATGAAGGGTGATGTATAAATATCCTATAATCGCATGTGCGAGAAGTTCTAGTCATGATTCTCTAAGAAGTAGGCAATCAAAAACTTTCATAGTCAATATGGAAAGATTACTACTTCTTAGGAGTCCCCAAATCCAGGCCAATAGGCCTTTATAAATACTCAACCTTAGGGTTGAGCGAAACATTTTGAATTCACAATGAAATATCCTAAAATACAGAGCTTCTCATCCTCGTGAGCTTGCTCTCAGTCATCAGAAAACATACAAAATATGGCTTCTTACCACCTTGAGTTTTCCCTAAACCACCACAAATTATAAAGCCTTCCCTTAACCATAGAGGTGCCACACATCTGTATATTTTAGCAAGTACAATCGCCTTTCTTCAGCCAAACTAACTTGCATCTTTGAAATATTTAAGATTCTCAATGTTGGATAAGCTCCCATAAATCCTAACAAACCTACAATTTACAAACCAACTTCTTATGAGAAAAAAACATTATATTCATCCTCAACTCTAAACTCAAAATCTTATGTGAAAAAATATTAATCTTAAACTCCAAGTTACTAAAAAAACCCTTCTTCAAAATCTTAAGAGTCACTTTAAGAATTTTCATCTTATCCTTGAGCATGCAAGCTCATCTACCTCTCACAAACATCTAACCTTTAAGAATTTATTGTAGGATCAATTAACACCAAAGTATCATGACACCAAATCCTACCTGTATATTATTATTAATCTAAATGTTAAGATATATTCACTAAAAAACTAACACATGAATTTTTAAAGGGAATATATATATATATATATATATATATATATATATATATATATATATATATATATATATATATATATATATATATATATATATCAAATGTTTATCCGTTTGAACCACCTTCATAGCTAAACTTTGAATATCTTCATAAATGGAAAAGAAAACATGTCTTTTCACTTGAAGAACATAAGTGTCAAGTTGATCTCTTATTGTTCCAGATCATCATCAGAAATGTCGGTATGATAAATATCAACAAGACGAGCAAGCTTATAAACATCAAAATTGGAGAAAGAGTTATTGGGGTCAAGACATGAGAAGCAATCAAGAATAATATTACTTTCTTACTAAAACGGTGATCCATCTCTACACATATATTGTCAATAGCAACATAAAAAATCTTTGCACGGTAATGATGAAGATTAGTGATAGTCCTCCCTTCTACCCTTGAACGACTCCGAGTCGGTATTTCGTCATCTATATTTGACACCGAAATACCTTTAGCAACACAAAATTCTTAACCATCGACAAATAAGTAGCATGACTTATAATAATGATAAAGTTTAAGATACTCTCTTTTATTGGTTTAACAAGTAGCAGGATCATCAATTGGATTAAAGAGTTAAATAGAGAGTAAATTTTAATAAAACACAGAGGTTTTGTTTTATAAACTCAAATTCAATAACTCACTAGTTATTACATTCACATAAAAGTATTTTAATTTTAAATTAATACATTCCAGTATTATGTATGCTAGTATTAACTAGTGAGTATTTATATAAACTCACTCAAGTTTAAATAACTCACTAGCTCATGAATATTGTCACTGCATTCACATACAAGTACACACAATCAATTGATCAAACACTTTGTGTTGATACCATTTTACCCAAACAGTTCAAAATTAAAATTTTCAGCACTCAAACCTCAAAAGAACTAAATCCTAATGGAAATAACTCACAATTGAAAAAACTAAATCCTAAATCCTCTTCACCAATCAGGCAATCACCAGATGCCAATCAAAATCGAAAATCCTTTTTTCCACACCCCATAAACAGCAAAAGCAATTTAATTTGAAGTTTGGAATTTCAGAAATATTTTCAATAGAGAAAGAGAAATAACCTTGGAGATGGGAGGCACGACAAAGGGAGGAGGCCAGAGGGCGAAGATGGGAGACACGTCAAAAGAAGGAGTCTTACGATCAAGATCAAACGGTCAATATCATCTTGACAACATGAATGTGTGAAAATCCCGACTTTCCGAGATTCATATCCCTCCTTATATTACATTAAACTCTTCCCTATATGCCCTTTAAGTAATTAGATATGGAAAATTATTAAAGCTCTTCATATCCTTAAGAAAGAAGCATTATCCTCTAAAATGTATCAAGTTAGAAAAAATTAACAAAGAAGAAGTGCAAAAAAAACCTTCAATTTATTCATAATATAATTGTATATTATAGAATGTACAAAAGGATTAAAAAACTGAGAGTTATGATGATGTCTCTATACATACTTACACTTTCTTAGTTTAGGGTGTAAAAATACTAAACAAAGATAAAACTCAAAATTGTGATTCGTATTCACCTATAAAAGAAAAAGAAAAAGAAAAAGAATAAAAAATATTATAATTACGTATCATTCCTCACATCGGTTGTTGCACCAATTCCAACCTGCAACCAAGGTGAAGAGCTTCCACCAATATTGATTACATCTTTTAGTTCACTTAATTTTGCCAACTTAACCTTACTATCATCTTCATTATTATCAATGTTTTGTACCAAAGAATTAAGGTTGTTGTTTTTGTTGTTTTCATCATGAGTGTCATTATTTTGATCAACTTGGTTGTTATTTTGATTTTGTTGAATCATACATTGGCTACTATTATCTTCTTTAATAATATTATTGTCCTTTATTGCATTTGCGCTAGGGTTTGCAGTTGCACCCCATGATTGCATGTAAATTTGTGTATTGGTAGGAGCTGGAAGATTAAGATCAAGTTTAAGATCAATTGGCTCAGAAGAATTATCAAACTTAGGTATTTGTTCCATATGATCTTGAAATTGTTGAAACCTTGCCAATGTAGATGTATCAGGTGCATTTGATGTAATCCAATGACATCTTTTGTGACCACCTAATGCTTGTCCAGAAGAGAAACTCCTATGACAAATTGAGCATTCATGCACTTTTGATTTTCTCTTGGAAGAAGAAGAAGGCATTAATGTAGGGTTACTAGAGGTTCCTTGATCATATTGTAGAGTTGAGATTGATTTTGGAGGGAAGAACTCATCATGTGTCATGACATCATCCTCAGCTATGGTTTCATCAAGGTTTTGATCAAGTCTTGCAGCAAAACATCCTTTAACCTTTTTGTGACTGGCTCTATGGCCACCTAAAGCTTGGTGGGAGTTGAAAACTTTTTTGCATGCTTTGCATTCAAATAAACCCTTTGCAACACCTTTGGCTTTGTTGTTGATGTTGTTGTTGTTATTGTTATTGGTTTCATAAGGGATTCTATAAGACAATGGTGCGATGAAATTCATAGGATTTCTTCTTTCTTCATCTCTACAAGCTGAGGCACATGATTCTTCTGGTTCTGCCTCAAGGGGATTCACAATAGCATTTGATAACATCATTAAACAATTTGCTAGGTCTTCTTCTTCGGTTGAAGGACAAATATAATTATTATTATTATTATTGTAACTACCTACTTTAGTTCGCATTGACCTTTTTCTTTTGGACCAACCACATCCTCTCCTCCCATCGGCGCCATCGCCGTCACCATCGTCGGCCATAGCGTTTGATTCTGGAGAGGATTCAGGAGACTCTTCATCCGCTTCATCTGAGTTGCATTTTCCATGTTCTAGAAAAGCTTTCCAAGAGAAAAATTCTTTGCCACAATGCTCACATACCCTACAACTTTTTTGCTTATTAGGATTTGTTCTAAGAGAATACATGCGCTTGTTACTTGTTTGTGGAACAATATTATTGGCATTGCCACCTTCCCAGTCGCTCGCCGGATCATCGTCATCCATTTGACCACTTTCGTCGCCTATCCCATGAGCTCTCATATGTCCTCCCAATGCTCTTCCACATCCAAAGCCTTTTTTGCAAATTTTACAGAAGTGTTTGAAGTTTGATTGTTGATCCACAATCAATGCCATGCAAATTTAAGAGCAACAACTATGTTGAGTGGTGTAAAAAAAAAGAACAAAATAAAAAGAAAAATAAAATGAAAAGAGGGAGAGGAGAGAAACACACACATTGATGTAAGATGGGGACAGTGAGTTCAAGAATGAAAGAAAGGGTGAAGTTGGTTCTTGTAGTGATAGTTGAGTTCTAGGGTTTGCATGGCGACGAAATAAAGGAATAGTAGTCCTAGTTTTTAGTTAGAGTATTGGTTAAGATCAAGAGAGAATGCAATAGTAACATAAAGTGACAATTGTAAGGATGAGACTTATTCTAGTGTCTTTTCTTGTTAAAGATTACCAAAGTTGTGAGATAAAAAATACTAAAAATTAATGTATTTATCTTTTTTTTTGTTTTTGTTTTTTTTTAATAGTAAACTTGAGAAGTGAAAAGTGAGTGGTTCTAACTACCATATCTATTCATATCACTTCAATTCTAAAGCAAGAAAACTAACCTATGTTTCTCCTTTCCTGTCGGTTGGTAATGTTTCTTTCCACCCAATTTACATCATTTTTCTTGTTTATAGTCATTACAACATGTGATCAATAAATTTTGGTCCTCCTTAAAAAAATTAATATTTTTGTCAATACTTTTTTTACTTGATTTCTTTCTTGGTTTTTAACTTTTAATCATCAATTATTTTCATATATAAACTTAATTGATTTTTAACACTAAACAAATAATTATAAATTTTCTTATTATCTTGTATCCGATAGTAAAAATGCAGGTTTGAATCTAGGATATCTTATTTATTCACATCAAAAATATGAAATTTTAGTTACTAATTACTAAAAAAAATTACACATGCTTTACTTTATTGATTTTGCTGATTTTAATTTTTCTCTCTAGTTTATATACATAATTTGTACATATAAAAAATGTTATTTATGATTTTTTTTATATTGACAGAATATATAAAAAATGTAATTTTTTTTTTAATTTGGTGAGTTTTTGATTAATTTTTAGATAAAATTAATTAAAATTTTTAATTTATTTATTAATGAATTAATATTGAAAAAAATTAATGAATTAATGAGTTACTAAATTTGATACTTCAAGTGAGTTACTAAAATTGATACTTCAAGTGAATTACTAAATTTGATACTTCTAGTATAAGTACGTACGGTAATAGCAAATTGTAAACTATGTTTAGTGATAAAGTGTAACAACTACTGTGTTAACAAATTGTATACTATGTTTAGTGAAAACTCCAACATAAGTCAACAAAAAATTATATTTAACTATAAAAAAGTAAGTAAAGACAATAATGCTAGTGAAAAGTGCCTTATCACTTGGATCTACAGTTACTGTTCTGTGATAGTGGATTTGACTAATGTCTTACAAATAATAGTTAGTGAAAGCAAAATGTTAACTAATAAGAACTGAAGTATAATCATATGATAAAAGCAAGTATATTTGATAGATTAAGGTGTGGGTTCATACTTATATGGTGGAAATAAGTTTGACCGAATGACAGAGATTTATGATTTAATATATCCTAAACTAAAATCATAGAGTAGGTCGACTATATAAATTAATTTCTATTAATTTTTAAATCTTTCTGCACTTTAATTTATCTCTAGTTGTTTGGATCATATCCACTTAACTTACTTTTTACATTTTCCAACCTCCATGTCTATTTTTAATAATTTTTTCTATTATGATTATTATCCCAACACTTCCTCTAATATTATCATTTCTAATATTATTTTGTCTAGTCTTATCACATATACCATCATCATCTTTGATACATTTATTTTATTCTCGCTCAAAATTATGTCTCGTACAATATCGTAGGTCTTGCAACAACTTGATAAAAAAATTCTTTCAGCTTGAGTGGTATATTTGTGTCACATAAAACCTTTGAAACTCACCACTATTTCAGCCACCCAATTTAAATTCATGTTTTACTTATTCTTTTATTTCTCCATTGTTTTGTTTTACGGATCCAACATATTTTTATCGCTTGACTTACTAGATGATAAGGTCTTCAACTTTCCCCTGTAGTTTAGAATCACTTATCCTTTTGATAAACTTACATTATATAATATGTCTTACTTCTACTTATGTGTGTCGCGAAGCAAAAAATATCTGAGTGCACAAACAGTAGGAATACGTCAGAGTTGCCACCGAAGTTTATTTTTGGAAGGGAAAACGTCGATAAAACTCTAAAAGAACAAAAAGATGGTCGTCACAACCAAATTCAGATTCGGGAGTCGATTGGTTGAGGAAAATGTATTAGCACACCTCACATCCATTATACTCAACAGGAACCGTTTAGTTAATTTTACGAATACAATGTTAGTGTAACATACTTTTTCTTATAATTATTATTGTGTATTTGCAAAGAGAAATAACGATCTAAAAAATAGATTTTTTATTAGGGTGATCAACAAGATTACGAGTCTTGCTCATACGTATCTTCAGGTGCGAAGAGAGATTCAAAGCTACATAGTTCTTTGCAAGAAAACGATATTTTTTTACTATGGTGCTTGACGAGACATTTAATCTCGCTCATACGTATCCTCAGGTGCCATGAGGAATTCAAAGCTACGTAGTTTTTAGTAGCAAAAGAGTATTTATTGATTGATTTTAGTGAGTGATGTGATCAGCGGTTTTTACACGAGTATTTAAAATTTATTTTAGTTATTGATTTTTTTAATTGACGAGTAATTTATTTTATTTTACCGTATTTTATGCTTTAGTTGCATGTTTTAGTGTTCTCAGAGTCAGAGGAATAAAACAGGACAATTCAGGGCGAAAAGTGCAAATATTCAGAGTTTCAGAGAAAGTTAAAAATCCACCTATAGGAGGCCTGGCACGGCCACCCGTGTTGTCCAACACGGGCTGTATTAGGATGTGCGAGTGAAGAAATAGAGAAGTCATGGGTGCAACACGGGCGGCTGTGTTGCAACCCTTGGGAGTTGAAGTTGATACTTAAAATCCAGAAGGCCAACACGTGCGGCCGTGTTGCCCAACACGGGCCGTGTTGGTATGTGACACTGATTTCTGGTTTTTTTCTCTATTTTGCCCATCTATTAAGCTTTGGGGGCATTTTGAGTACTTCTAACCGACCTAAAATATTTTTTTTTTATATTTAGAGGACTTTCCACGATGAATTAAGGGACTTTTGACTGGAGAGGATTAGGAACGATAAAGATTGGTGCTTTCAAGAGATTTGGAGGCGGAGATTCCTTCATGAGTAACAACAATTGAAGATCGAAGAATCCTCACCTTTTGTAAGCTCAAATTTCATTATTGCTTTTCTTTTTAATACTATGAGAAGCTAAACCCCCCAATGCTAGGGGTGTCCCTGATTCACAAATATATTAATTTTTAATTCTTGATTTTGATACAATAAGTTTCCTTTCGATTTAATTATTCAATGTTCTTATGCCTTTCCTATGGACAAATAGGGATTCATCCACAATTAAAAATTAGGGTTGGACCGCCATTGTTAAGGGTTTTGAACAATTAGACTATAATAGATATCACCTAGGACTATAGATATCCTATAGGTCACCGGTAAAATCTTGATAACATAAAGGCTTGACTCCATCAGATATCTCTAAGGACTTAGGATTTAGGATGGATGGTTAAAGGTTTTCTCACTAAAAACTTTGGGGAAATCAAACTAAAGAATTCGGTAGTTGAAGGTAATGAAATTGTTGAAGGAATCAAGAGTAAAGATTATTAAGAGGTCAAATCATACACCTATCCCTAGCATGCTCCTCATATCAGTGAAAAGCAATTTTATATTTTTGCTACTTGTTAAGTGACAATTCCAAAACCAAAACCCATATCAAGTTTTGTTTAATTGAACTACGAATTTAACTTGATAATTGCGCGCAGTCCTTGAGATCAATATCTTGGAAATTTCCCATTATTACTGCAAGGTAAAAATAGTACACTTGCTATCTTTCTATCATGTTTTTGGCGTCGTTGCCGGAGATTGCCGAGTTATTGGGTGTAATTTGAGTTCAATTAAAATTTTATTGCTCTGTAAATAAAATTTCTTTTTTATAATTTTTATATTTTTGTTATTACTGATTTTTTCTAACATTTGCATGCGAGGACAACCCTCAGCTTAATTTCTTTTGATATACAGACTCAAGTTTAGAATTAGAACCCGAAACTATGGGGGAAAACCGACCACCACCAGAGAGACTTCTTACGGATTACGGAGGAGAAAATGCTCTAGCAGGTCGATTGACTATTGTAAATCAAGCGGTCAATGTTGCAAATTTTCAACTGCATCCTTCAACCATCCGCCAGCTCGAGAACAGATCCTTCAATTGAAGATGCCAATAAGCATTTGCAGAGATTCCTCGCCATGAGTACTACTTTGAAGATTGAGGGGAACTCTGAAGAAGCAAAGAAATTAAGGATGTTCCCGTTCACGCTGTCTGAAGATGCTGAAGAGTGGTTTTACTCATTGTCTGCTGGAAATATCACCACTTGGGAACATATGGAGAAGACTTTTCTTGATGAGTACTTTCCTGCTTCTATTTATATTCGCAAAAGATATGATATTGTGAATTTTAAGCAGAAGGAAAGAGAGTCACTAAATGATTCCTATAAGAGGTTCAAGAGATTACTGGTAGTCTGTCACATGCACAACATGAGTTTAACTGAGAAAATGCAGATGTTTGTGAATGGCTTCCGAATAAAGACAAAGCATCTTATTGATACAACTATCGGTGGCTCATCAAACTTCACAACAACCACTGGTGTGAAGAAGATTATTCAAGCCATTGCTGCAAATGAGCATCTTGAGCTATATGACAAAATTGTAAGCAAACCAGATGGAATGATTGATTTGAAGTTGGAAGTGAATAAGAAACTAAAAATTGAAGAGGTTATTGTTGCATAAGTGGAGAAAAAGCTTAAAGAAACAAACATGGGAACTCAACAGGTAGCTCAGGTTCAACAGGCACACAAGGCAGGTTGTGAAATTTGTAGTGGACTACACCTT